CGTCGGAGCAACAATTTGATTTGCAACGACGGATTCAATTTGCAACCAACTGTTGTTGTGCTGCATTATTCAGCTCTTTTTTGACTGAGCTACTACAATTTTATGACATTTTTTCACAAGGACCGAACTTTCATGTCAGCTGTCATTTAGCACTGTTCCTTGAAGACACCATGGCAGTAATAATTTGTCATCGTAAAGTTTTTGTATGTAAGAATGATAGGCATCTCGACATGACAATCGTCTGTCCCAACTCTTCATGGCGCACTAAAGAGAGGTTTTTGCAAAGATCAGCCGATGTCTGCAATAGCAAAAACGGCTACGAAGCACAGATCTGGAGGAAAGATCGTGTTGAAAGACCGCTGCAAATTATGGCTCATTCAAAACATCGTTGGGCTCGTCAATTGACAATTCACCGAAGCGGTGATAAATGGAGGCTCAATCAGTCATTGAATACCCCCCACCCTCTCCAAAACGAAACGAGACTGCTAGAACGACCGTCGAAAAAATGAGCTTTGCAATTTCATAACGGTTCGGAGAGCGTGACCCATACTGGATTCAAGCCGTCAGAATTCGAACAGTATGGAAAGGCTTGGCCTCCGTTGACAGAGTCGCAGCTGAAAGAGCTATCAGGAAGAGGTACTTCATGCTCGAACTCGAAGCAAACAATAGATCAAGCTCACTTGCTGTGGTGCTATAGGGAAGGTACAAAACATCACGGCGAACCTCATACTCTGTGAAAAGCACCATACGTTCGATTTCAGTTTTTAGCGCAGATGGCCAATTTTTCAAGAGTCTCGGTGGAAAATCAACCTAATTCAAAAGTATAAGGAAGAACCTCTGTTTCCGAGAACCAGATGCGCGTCGAGTGCAGACCACACACCACAAGTGACGACGGCCTCCAAGTAAATCTGGTAACTAGTGATTCATAGTGATAGCTGATAGTTGGTAAATGATAGTTGTAATTAGTGACAACTGATAGAATACAACTGCAACAGGCTAATCATTTCATTGGCAGAAAACATTTACATTTTGTGGAGGCCGTCGTCACTTGTGTTGTGTGGTCTGCACTTGACGAGCATCTGGTTTTCGGAAACGGGATATAGAAGCTCAGCAGAAGGAACAAGAGCATGGGCTACAGTATTATCATATTTGCTTAACATGCACCGCTTGGCGCTTCACGCTCGGAAACACAGGCAAGGCGCCCCAAATTACTGTATAATCCATAGTGCATTTAAAAGACACCGCGATTCCGAACAGAAATAAATGCGTGGCACATTGAAGAAAGGGATTGGTCGACACTGAGAGTTTTACCCTTCATGCAACCCTCCGAAGATACCTTTGTTTATCTCAATCCTGATTGACTGCATGAAATTCTGGCAAAGCACTTCCGGGTACGCGAGCAAGGAAAAGCCTCGTACTCGCCTCATCCGGAAATTTGGAGACCCCTATCTCCACAGTCTTGGGAGGCTCCCCCAACACGACCCCCACCCTGCCCCGACTGCTCCCCCTCACCATTCTAGCTGTTTTTGTTCGTTTGATTCTGAGACAAGTGAAACCTGTCGACACAGCCCAACTTCACCCAATATGCGACCGTTGAGCACGGGGTGGAGGGGAGGGGGGAGGAAGGGGAAGCTGGTCTAATGGGGCAGCAAATACTCCAGTTTTACTCTCTTGTATGATCCTATTTCACGCTACTTCCTCAAACCGTTCGCCAAAATCGTAAAAAAAACTGGTCAACCCTGCTCAATCCTCTTAATACGACCCCTCTCATCCCGAAACTGCAAATGTGACCCCCTCCTCCGAGTAGTGCGAACGGACCCTGGACCACGAGCTCCTATATAGGACGGTATAGGAGTTCGTGGTGAATCAGTCTTCGACTCGCAAAAAATAAATCACGACGTCATAGAAAGTTGCATTGGAATGTTAATACATGCAACGTCACTGACCGATAATCCCGCTATGTTTTTGGCCGGTGATCACGAACGCATGAGAGGAGCCATGCGGAGTTCCTGCGAACAGTAACTGGACGTCATTTGGTGTGAGATGATTGGCAATAGCTACTCCTGAAATCAGAACGCTGAACAAACTGCCATAAAAATCCTTAGTAACGGGTGGCTGGCCTCTCCCATTATCGGATGCCTTACCTGCTTCTGTTGGTCTGAACTGTTTATTCCTATAGGTGGCAACAACTCCCATTGCACTGCAGTAAAGCCTTGTGTAAATAATTCCAACCCATGTTTTCTCTTTGTCAGTCAGCTTCTGAAACATAACATTTTTGATGGCAAAAAGGCTGCACAACAGCTACACACACCTTGTTCACAGCGACAAAGGCGGCACCAGCGAAAAACAGGAACGAGATTAGTAGAAGGCAAAGACGAGTCGGAAAAAGGAAACCGAACCTGAAGTAATAACGACGAATGCCGTGCAAGCTAAT